CAATGGAAAAAGAAAGTCACGAACTTACTAATCCTAAGTGGACTAAGAATTGAAAACCGTAATGACTCTTCTACCACTTAACCATGGATGGATACCCAAAACGAAAAAGCAAACACAAAAATACAATTTCAAAAATTTTTTTATTCGGGTGAACAGTAACTTGGATGAACAGTACGCTACAGCACGATGAAACAATAATCACTATAGTACCGTGAACAGTACCAATTTTTTTTTTACGACTCAATACAAGGTCACGACTTCACTTGGAAGAAATTTACTGGGAGTTAAACCCTGAAAAAACTTGTTTCCAAGATCTTAATCACACTAAGAAATTTCAACATTGATCAATCAAGAAGGTTAGACTCAAATGATAAAATCAAGAAAACAAGAATAATTTTTTTTGTTTTTTTTAAATCAAAAGGCGGCTAGGGTTTTGTAGAAAAATAAATAGAAAAACAAGAAAAAAGAAAAAGGATATTAACCTGAATTAAAAGTCGAAACTCTAATACCAACTGATACGAATTCGACCTAACAAGAACCTGTCTAGAAAATCCAAGTTGATTAGGCAGCAGAAGGATCTATTTTAACCAGGTTATAGATACAAAGATGGAACAAACTCGATCCCTCTAACCCATAAAATTGTGAATCTTGAATCTAATCGCGACCCACAACTCAACAAGATAGCGAACCAAGATGTGTTGGTAGAATGGCGTCACAATTCAACGTGGTCTTGAATTGATAAGGCAAAACTTGAACAAAAGAGACATGACTCACTTTGTATCAAGAAACGTTCCCAAGGAACAAGAAAGAGAAACTCTCAAATTTTATTCATCATCTGACTTGACTTACAATGGAATAGAAGAGACCTATTTATAGACAAAATCTAAACTACTAAGACTAATCTAATTTGGACAAGGATTTAGTCATTTATTTTCCTAACTACATTTAAATGGCTCAAGTAGCTCGCATACCTGACCATATTTATTCATAATAATGACTAATTAACCAACTAAACAAGGAAAAATCAAGGCAAACAAAAGAAATCAAAAACCCGAAAATCACATAGTTGGCGCTATATCGCCTCCACAATTTCATGTATTCTAATGGAGTCTTGAACATCGTGGATTAGGTTGAAAAGGCTCTCAAGCATCTTGACACGAGTTAGTGATGGTCCTACCGCTCGTATCATTAAGAGCAAACTAAAGACCTTCATGTGGAAATGCTTGAACAAGGCCCTTCCAGTGAATGAACTCATATATTGTAGGACTAGAATGGGGGAGCCAATATGCAACATATGCAGGGAAGAAGAGGAAACAATGGAGCATTTATTTATTTTTTCTGCAATCAAGCATAGGATGTGTGGAGATTGGCACCATTGCATTGGGATGGATTAGCAGATCATAGAGGGAACTTCAATAGATGGTGGAGTGGTCTGGTGGAAGCTAAAAGCAGGACAGAAGGAACTGACCACCAAGCACTCACTGTCAACATTCTTTGGTAGTTGTGGAAAGCTAAGAATGATAGGATGTTCAATAACAGATACCGGTGCCCTTTTGAAATTGTACAGAAAGCTCAACTAGAGTGGGTGGAGTTTACAGAAGCTCAGACAAAAGGCAAGTGAGTGAGCTTTTAGGAAACAATATCAGTGAGGGAGGAAAGTCAACATAGCAATGATGAAGGGAACTTGATGAATATAGTGGTGGAAGTGAGCAACCAGGATGAAGGAAGGCCATTAGGAATTCGAATAGTGGCTATTAAGGCCAACAATACACATGCGGTTTGGGCCATCAGGGAAAAAAGCACAGGAGATACTATGCTGGATTATGCTGAAGCGATCAAACTAGCATTGCGTAAAGCAAGGAGAAAAACAATGGCTAAAGGTGAAAGTACAAGTCTCATCTTTTAAGTTGCTGCAATTTTTGAAGGTGAAAAAAGTTAAAGACATAAGACTTTTTGCTCAGATGGAGGACATCCAAATAATAAGATCATTGTTTGTGAAATGCTCATTTAACTTGGCATCTCACAATAATGGCAATACAAGTAGAATGATTAGCTTTTATGCTACTAAATTAGTACAAGATGAGGGATATTGGAATCCTCAGTGTCTAAGTACACGTTTGTGAAGCTCAAAATGAGCCTTGCTTGAGGTTGTGCAGCTAGTTTTGATATCAATAATATTTCTAACGTTTCTATAAAATATATATATGTTACCTCTTCCATAGGGGGAGTGTAACAGCCATGATGCATATCGCGGCCATTACACACATAATAAACATGCAAGAAAACAAAAAAACTAGTTGTGGGTCCCATTTGATAATTTCAAAAACATTAAAATTTTTCAACAATCATATTGTGTCAATTTCAATGCTTTGCAGCGGTAATATTTATTCAATGTCAATCCTCATCTACGAAATTGATTAACAGTAAAATTCCCATAGGTAATATTTTTATTTTTAATTATCTTTTTTTTTTTTCAATTTTTGCAGTTCAAAATTTTTTCTATAAATATTGTTAATATTTTCTTCAATTTCTTCATTGCTTTTCTCCAACCTCTTATCCAATTTTCTAAAGTTCCAATAATTTCTCATTATGGATAAGAATTTTAGTAGTTTTAGAAATATATTTAATGCTTCAAATATAGAAAATTCTTTCTCTTCACAAGATCAAAACGATCAAAATTTCCAAAATTACCCAAATATTCCATATTCTGGTATTCATGCAAATATGCATATCTCAAATTTACCCAATTCCAATCATACACCAAATTCCTTAGGTCCACCAATTTTTCCATATCCATTTCCCATGCATCCGTTGTCGGGTTATTTTAATCCATCTGTGGCAAATCATTATATGTTGGGATATTATAACCCTGGTTTGGGTTGTGGAAGCCCCAATGACTCTGAATGAGACAAGGAAGGATTTTGATTTTGGCACCGAGCAAGAAAATGCAACACCGACAAAAGTTTATTTCGGACACTCAAATACCGCCATATTCAACACAACATGGGGTCAAAAATATTACTTTCACCAATGAATCGATAGAAGACACTGAAGGATTTTGATTTTGGCATCGAGCAAGAAAATGCAACACCGACAAAGTCTATTTCAGACACTCAAATACTGCCATATTCAACACAAATACTGCCATATTCAACACAACATGGGATCAAAAATATTACTCTCACCAATGAATTGATAGAAGAAACTGATGGAAAATGTGTTCCATGGAGTATCGATCATGACAGGATGCTTGCAAGCGCTTAGCTCACAATATACTTTTTCAAAAAATAAAAAAATTTTCGTGAAAGTTAATAAATTATTTTCCATAAATGATGAAATCATTCTTTAGAAAATAAATTTATTTATTTATGGGATATGTATTGTGAATTATTAAAATAAATATGTGATTTGATTGTAGGTTCATGCTATCATACTTTGTAGAATGTAATATTTAGTGAGAGATAATGTAATAGAAGAGGAGATAATAAAAAGATAATATAACTACTTTGTAGACTGTAATCTGTAATAAGAGACAGTATAATGAAAGAGGGGATAATAAAGAGATAGTGTAACAAAAGAGGGACAACAAAGTGATGATATGACATATGAATTATACTCTTTAAGTGTAATGCATTGTTGATACCTTGATGACCTTTTGGCAAAAAAAAAGGTAGGTGGTGCAGACTCTTATAACATTATTTTTTTTTGACAAAAAAGGGAATTTCACCATTTTGATCGCCAAGTTTTTTCACTAAAATTAATTTTGTCCTTCATGATTTATTTTAACCAATTTAGTTCGCAAACTAATTTTTCATTTTTAATATAGAACTTTTGAGGCGGCACCACCACATTTTCCACATTCTATGCGGTCGAGCAGAGATAATGATCACACAGGGCTAAACTTCTGCAATTATAGTGAATATTCGACTATTCGTATCCTCTTTGCTTCTTTAATGATGGCAAATTGTTTTATGCTTCACCAAGCAATTATACCAACTCAAAATCTCACCATAGATCTACTTGCTCTTCTTGAATTCAAAAGCCACATTTCATTTCAATTTCCCCCAAAATTTAGCAAATCATTTCTCTTCCTCTTCATCAATGGGATCTTCGCTCTCAAGAACATTTTGTCGTAGATTTCTTCTCGATCACAAACCCCAGATCAATGCCCTCAGCTTTCTCTTATTCCTTTTGCTCAAAAAGCCTTTCTTTGGCTGACAACTTTTCAAAGTCGGATGAACCTCCACTTTGAATTTGGTTTATTCCGATGCTGAATCACCACTCCCTCTTTTCATCTTCTTTTTCTTTGCCCAACTCAACCAAGCAGAGCGCATCGTTCAGACTCGTTCCCCTTGAAAATGGGTTGAATATTGGCATTTACAAGGTCCAAATTTCGCTGAACATTTCTGAAAACTTTCTTTCTTTCTTTCTTTTTTGGAATTTATTGTCATGATAATAATTATTAGAGACAAGTTTCAAAGTTTAATTTGTTTTCACATTTTGACAGTGATCTTCTCTTCTTTTTTTATATAATGTGTAAAAATTGTTGTGAGTTTTTAGTAGGGACACTAAACTTAAAGCATTTGCCACTGTCCTATATTGAGTTCAATGGCCGGCTTCCAGGGACACTTGAATGATTGCTCAAACTCAAGGAATTATCCACTGGGAGAAATATTTTCGGAGTATGAACTCAATTTCCACTAGAAACATGTTATCTATAGAAGTTTAGCCCGTGTGACAGTTATGCCCCTGCCTGGTCGCATGGAATGTGTAAAATTTGGTGATGCCGCCGGAAAAGTCCTACATTGGAACTGGAAAATTAGTTTGAAGACTAAATTGGTTAAAATAAATCATGAAGGATGAAATTGGTTCTAGAGAAAAACTTTAGGACCGAAATGGTGAAATGCGCAAAAAAAAAGGGCCAACTACGCAATGCATTTGACATATCAAACTTTACAAACTGAATTTTAAAAACGTTTTGCCCCTGCCAATACTAAACGCTGCTCTCTCCCGCGAAAAAACTGATTAAATTGAATTCAGGAACCCACAAACTTGGCATTTTGCATTGGAGAGAGATGGAGCAGCAGCAGCAACCAAAGATAAAACTGGCGAATGCTCTGCTAAAGAACTCAAAAAACCCCAAACTCGCATGGCAACTCTTCAAACGGATGTCTCTCTCAACTCCCAACCTCTTCTTCCAATCTCTCCCCATCATCACCCGCATTCTCCTTCGCTCCAGTATGTTCTCCGAGATCGACAGTCTTCACCATTTCCTTCTTTCCCAACCACCCGTAAAGAATTCTTCTCTATACACCGTCGTTAGGATCCTGGCCGAGTCAGGCCATGTTGACAAGGCCTTGTCTCAGTTTCAAACTCTCCGAGCCCAGTTCCCTGATCGCCCTCCTTTGGTTTCGCTGTACAATTTGCTTATTCAGTCTTCGCTGAAAGGAGATTGTCAGCAAAACTTCGTTTCTTGGTTGTATAAAGACATGATTTTTGCTGGGATTTTGCCAGAAACGTATACTTTTAACCTGTTGATTGGTGGGCTGTGTGATTCGGGTCGATTGGAAGATGCTCAGAAACTATTTGATAAAATGCGTGAAAAAGGATGTGAACCTAATGAGTTCAGTTTTGGGATTTTGGTCCGTGGGTATTGTAGAGTCGGACTTGCTTCTAAAGGATTGGAGCTTTTGGATTTGATGAAGGAAATGGATGTGTTCCCAAATTTGGTTATTTATAACACTTTGATTGCGTGCTTTTGTAAAGAAGGTAAGACTGAGGAGGCAGAGAAATTGGTGGAGCAGATGAGGGAGGATGGGCTTGTTCCGGATGTTGTTACATTTAACTCTAGGATTTCAGCACTTTGCAAGTCGGGTAACATGTTGGAGGCTTCCAGGATTTTTAGGGACATGCAGATGAATGAAGAGTTGGGCTTACCTAAACTTAATACGATTACATTTAACTTGATGTTAGAGGGGTTTTGCAATGAAGGCATGTTGGATGAAGCGAAGACCCTGGTTCAGTCCATGAAGCAAAATGATGTTTTCCCGAATGTTGAGAGCTATAACATATGGCTGTATGGTTTGGTAAGGAATAAGAAGGTCTTTGATGCTCAGTTAGTTCTTAAAGATATGGTGGATCAGGGTGTAGAACCAAGTACATACTCATACAACATTGTGATGAATGGCCTGTGCAAGAATGGGATGCTCGGTGATGCAAGGACGTTGATGGGATTGATGACAAGTGGTGGGATCTCTCCAGATACGGTCACTTATAGTACTCTACTCCATGGATACTGCTGCAAAGGAAAGGTAGTAGAGGCAAACAGGGTTTTACATGAGATGATGAAGAATGGATACACTCCAAATAATTATACATGCAACATTTTGCTGCACAGCCTCTGGAAAGAAGGGAAAATTTCAGAAGCAGAGAAGCTACTGCAAAAGATGAATGAAGGTGGCTGTGATTTGGACATTGTGAGTTGCAATATTGTGATTGATGGTCTTTGCAGAACTGGAAGGGTGGACAAAGCAGTTGAAATTGTGAGTGAAATGTGGACTCATGGAAGTGCTGCTCTTGGTAATATTGGGAATTCCTTCATTGGCCTGGTGGATGAGGGAAACAACGGAAAGAAATGCATGCCTGACTTAATTACATATTCAACCATCATTAGCGGCTTGTGCAATGATGGAAGGCTTGATGAAGCCAAAAAGAAGTTTGTTGAGATGATGAAGAAAAACTTATACCCTGATTCAGTTGTATATAATACTTTTCTCTACAATTTGTGTAAAAAGGGTAAGGTATCATCTGCATTTCAGGTTTTGAAGGACATGGAGAAAAAGGGTTGCAACAAGAACTTAAATACATACAACTCTTTGATTCTAGGGCTGCGGAGCAAGAGTCAAATATTTGAAATGTCTGGACTGATGGATGAGATGAGAGAAAGAGGCATTTCTCCCAATGTTTTTACATACAATACTGTAATAAGCTGTCTTTGTGAAGCAGGAAGAACAGAAGAAGCTATTTCTCTTTTAGAGGAAATGTTACAGAAGGGTACAACCACCCCAAATACTGATTCATTCGAGTTTTTAATTAAAGCATTTTGTAGGGTGGGTGAATTCAGGCCTGCACTAGATGTATTTGATATTGCTCTTGATATATGTGGCCATAAGGAAGCACTTTATGCTATAATATTCAATGAGATGCTAACCGGGGGGGAAACATTGGAAGCAAAGGTAATATTTGAAGCTGCAATGAACAGATATCTTTGCCTAGGCAACTTCCTGTACACAGATCTGATTGATAGGTTGTGCAAAGATGAAAAGTTTGAAGAAGCTCATGAGGTTCTCAACAAAATGATTTCTAAAGGGTATGGGTTTGATCCTGCATCATTTATGCCAGTGATTGATGCATTGACTAAAAGAGGAAGGAAGCACGAGGCTGATGAACTATCAGAGAGAATGCTAAATATGGCTGCACAAGGTAGGGTGGTAAACAAGGTTTACTTTAACCAAGTTGATAGGGCGTCAAGTCGGGGGAAACTAGGGAAACTAGATCGATCTCTTGGAAGCCATTGGCAGACAATCTTGCACAGGTGTGGTTTCTCTTTGGGGGTTTTCAACTTCTTTCTTCTTTTCTCTGTGGTTGTAAAAAACAGTTATTGCTTTTGTCTTACCTGCCACTGGTTCCTATAAAAATGGCAGCTGAAGGTGCAAAGGCTTTAATATATGGTTGTTAATGCATATTGCTTTATTTGAATATTAGACCATTTAAGGGGTTAAGAGTTGAAAATCTCTAGCTACTTGTTTCATGTCATCTTGGATCCCTTCACATATCGTATACAATATTTTTGTTGCTTATGATGCTTTAGTCAAGAAATCGGGTCTGAGTAACATTTATTCATTTATTGTTCTTTTGAGTGTCTTTACAAGTGTGTTGGTGAACTTTTACAGAGAAGATGGAAGTTCAACAGCTTTGAAAACTTTGAAGCGGGTGCAAAAGGGATGGGGTCAAGGAAGTGTATCAAGTCTACAAGTCAAAAGAAGTGACTATCTTGATGAATGGGATGCTGCTGGATAAAATTATATGTTTTTGTCACATATACATATGCAGGATAATTTCTCATGTTGTTCGGACTGAGGGTCAAGACTTAGGTAAGGTCATGATTTTCGTCTTTTGTTTCTTCGATGTGACTTTTGGAACTGTTTAGGAAATATAATTCTTGCTCTTTTTTTATCCTCCATGTCGAAACTGGCACGCAGTTTGAAAGTGGCCACTACCTGCAATGCATTCTTCGATGTGACTTTTGGAACTGTTTAGGAAATATAATTCTTGCTCTAATTTTATCCTCCTTGTCGAAACTGGCATGCAGTGTGAAAGTGGCCACTACCTGCAATGCATTTTTATATCTTGCTACCCTCCCACCCCTCCCCCCCCTCCCCCCCCGGCCCCGGGGGCCTCTTTGCATGCTTTTGTGGGTATGTCTTTTGGGACCAGACCATCTCTATCAAGTTACTTTGTCAAAGCTATGTATGAGCAAGTATCATTGCAAATTCTGAAGTAACACAGTAAAGCTGGTGATCGAATGAAACAAATTATACTAACTAACCTAGAAGCAGAAAAATGACTCATGCCTCATGTATACTGGTCAATATGTCATTGTCTACATGAGAGGGAAGACTTCAGGAATTTTCAGGAAGAAAAGACCTGTATTAAAGATGAAAACTCTGCTCAAAAAGTTATGTGTCTGTTAGCCCCGCTGATCTGCACATTCATTTCTAATTAGTTCCCTTACATATCATGTCATATCCAAATTTTGGGCCAAGTTTCTTGCAGTGCACATTTGGAATCTATCTTTTGGCTTCTTTAATGCATACCTGTATGATCACCAGACAGATCCTATGCTGCTTGTTTTGACGTTCTGGGATAGTAATCAGGGTATAAGTTTCACTTCATTGGTTATAGGAGTTAGGGTAGATGATGTAGAGGTTGGTTGCGCTCCTTGACTTGCATGCATTAATAGCTCGCCAACTTAGGAGATCCTATTATAGAGTACTGAATCAAACTGTTGCAGGAGTGACTTTTCAATTTAAATTTGTGTTTAATCTGCTAAATGGTCATTAGTGGCATCTTTAGATAACAATTTCATAAAATACGTTTTGCTACTTCCGTTCTTGCCTTAGAGGTTGGTTTTTGGTTCTGATGTTCATATTTTAGTTAATATTGTATCTTCCTAGTTTATTTTTAGTAGTCAGGCATGTGGATTCCTACTTTCTCTTAAATTATTCAAGCCAAATGAAATGTGGTACATACTTTTGCTGTCTCATGTGTCTGCTAGACAGCAATGACCATTGTTTGGTTTTTTTTGGTGCTTTTTTGCTTTTCTTGGTATGATCTTGAAGGTTCTGTAAAGCTTCGTTTATTTATTTAATTAGTTTGTCTTAGAACTGCTGTTATTTTATTCAATTCCTATTCATGTACTTTGAAAGGATTTTGGATGCTGAAGTTCTCCAGGAAAAGTGTGGCTGTTGTTATTAGGTTATTACTGAGACTTAAGTGACATTGGTGTTGAAATTTTTAAATGCATGAAAAATGCTATCTTGTCTAATACGGATATCAAATCCTGTGGATCAGAGCTTGGTTCTTTCATACTTGGGACAAGTAATGGTTCCAGGTGGTGGATTTGCTGAGATCCCATATTGATGGAGGACGGCATTTTGCCAGTGTGTGATTTTCATATGAAAATACTTAGCTATGTCAAACTAGTTAAAACTTGGTTGATATCCCTGCATAAGGAAAAAATGAAAGAGGACAAGTAATTTTTTTTCAAAGTTCAAGTTGTGTTTAGACTGTCCTTGATGGCATTGCTTCTAATTGACCTTGCTGATTCACGTATCTTCCAATTGGTTTTGGTTCTTTCTGGATAGTTCTGAGTCGCATGCCTGTAGGTTTGTTTCCACTTCATCTAATTTGTTTTCTCTACTCTTCTTATTTGAAAGTATAAAAGAATTGTTTCATGGTTCATGCTTATAGTGTTAAGGAATCTTGGTTATGAAGTGTTGTGTTTTAGTGGGAGAACCTGGTATACTGGTGATCTTAAAGGAAAAGGAATGGCTAGCCTCATATAACCTTGGTGGAATTGTTACATTGTAACCTTGAGTTACATGAAATGCTGTCACCTGTACTTCTAAAGCTATCAACTCTTCAAACCTGTCACTATTGACATTTACTGCTCTTTTATAGTTGAGATATCATTAGACAACACCAAGAGCTCCCGTCCTCTGAATCCTCTCTTAGTTGAAAGTATCTTATCTGTTGAGACTTTGGCATAATTCTATCAATAAATCAACTGAAATAAATCTTAGGTTCGGCATTAATGTCGACTAAATTGTGGTATTGCAGGAACAAGTTCCAATATAAACAGCCACTCATTCAAAGGAAAGGTGATAAACTTTTTGCTTTTGCCTTTCTTTTAAGATCGAGATCATGATATCCTTTTCTACTGTGATGCAGGACATTGATATACCCTTCGGTGTCAGTCATGCTTAGGGTAGTCTAAGACTTCCTGGTATTAGAAATCTGAATGATGAATAAGGCAACTAGAAATAGAGTTGACAATTACATGGCATTATGGAGAAATGAACTCTCATTTCTTTTTTTTCTTGAACTGCTAGCATACAAATGAGGATTCTAGTGCTCTCAAACATTCATTTACTATGACATTGGGGGATTGGGAGATCAAGTTCAACTTGAGTTGAGGTTTACTAAAAGTGAACTGGAGTTAAGGGAAGAGTCATTCCATCCCCTAGTGCCCTCTTGCATCCTGTGAAACTCAAGTGCATGGTGCATTCAATTTCTTATTATTCAGTTACCTGCCTTTGACATCATATGGTGTTTATTTCCTATCATGTCCATTAACTAAATTCTTGGTTGTTTTGTTTCATGTTGAAATGGACAAAAATACGAAATGCAAAGTAGATGTCAAACATAATTAAGAGGTCTACGGCCAAATGCAAGAAGCAGCCACTAAACAGTCAAGAGAACTCAACATTACAATCAACAGTTAATACAGTATATGCAGGTAAAAGTGTATAATGCCCCACTCTTACTATATAGTATGCGTGATGGAAGCATTGCGACAAGACGTTATGCTAACATATAAAATAGCTACAAATGAAATTCATTTTCTTTTTAAAATTATACAGAAAGTCTACTTGCTATAGGATCCGCAAGATCTTATGCTAATCTTCAGCCATTGTCTTGCTATTCCAACTTTGTCAGCTCTGTGAGTGTTTCTGATCTGAATTTTGTCTCCAGACTGCTCAATTGCTCATGACTGAGCACAAACAGATATATCAGCTTTTGTATACTTTAAACAACCAATTGTATGCTAGGGAAGTCAAGGGCCACAATCCAATCAACTGAAGGGACAGTAAATTCACCAAAGAAGTGTTCTTTCTTAATTCCAGTCAGCTGTGAAAACAGTAGTCCTCACGCCTCGACCGATGATAATTGTTTCTGACTACAGTCTATTTCTTGGTCTGTGAAGCAAAGAGTTCTCTAATGAAGTAAAGCTTGAAGATGTCATCTGCTGTTAAACCATTATCCTGACATGGTGTTAGTCAACATGCTACATGTAAGGGGGTCTGAAAACTTGCTATCCATGTAGTGCCAGGTAATTTAAACTGCAGAGCTTTCAAAACATGTCTTTTTGTAAATAATGCTGATGCAGTTGTCCAAGAAGTGACAGGTAAAATATGCTGATGCAGTTGGTAAAGGGGACTGAAAGCTTGGTATCCATTTAATGACAGGTAATTAAACTCCAGAGCTTTCAGAACATGTCTTTTGTCCAAGTAAAGAATGTAGATGATTTCATGTGGCATAATTTGTCTTACTTCCTTGTTTTACATCAACTTGAGTTACCAGAATAGTAGTTGAATTTACTCCATGGACATTAAGCCTCAAACCAGACTGGTGGTGATGACAGTCTAAAAAATATGCCTGTCCCTGCGAAATTATCTTCCATTTTGCCTTTCTCTGTTTTACCAAGGCTGGATAAGATTGTTTTCTGGGTGGTCATACTGTTGTTCAGGAGGATTTTAAACGAAATTTCATGTTTGTTCTTTTACAAAGGTTTATGAATGGCTTTATGGAGACTTGTAAGGTGACTTTCAGATATTTGACCACAACTTGACTTCTATAATCTGTGGATTAGGAGATTAAATACTGGTGGTTAGGGATTTGGGCTTCATTATTTTTCAATTGAAGAAGTGAAGTAAGCACAATATAAAATGGATGATATCATCATGCACAAGAGATGGTAAACCATGATGTATTGCATGTCGCATTGACTAATTCTTGTATGTTCTTCAGGGTTTGCATGCCTTTATAAAACTCTGCTATGCATTCTTTTGCAATCTTTAATTAGGATGTGTAACTTTAGAAGGATACATGTATATCCAAATCTATAGACTTATAAGTAGAAACAAAGACACACAAATAAAGAGCGGTTTTGCAACTAAATGTGGTAGTCTTTTAGAAGACAAAAAAACTCAAGTCTATGGTAGACATGGATGACTTTTAGGCTGTGTGAATGCACAAAAAGACCTTTTTGTTTAATCTGGTTTAATGACTTTTTGTCTACTCAAGGAGTGCCACATTTAGTTGCAATTCGAAAAAGTCATCTCATAGCAAACCGCTCTTTGTTTCTGTTGCCTTTGCTAAGCTCGTTTCTCTCAAAATTGGTAAGTACTGTGTTTATCATGAGTTACTTTTCTACTTTGAATTTTGAGTAACGGGGTGCATGCCAGAGTGTGTGCAGCTTGTATGTTTTCAGCCAATATGTTTTTAGTTAAAATGCATTTGTTATTACCTAAAGTAGTGCTGGTTCATATGTCTATTTTTTCTTACCTGAGAACATTTATTTAAGTTTGTTCAGGTATTGCTTTTGCTTGTTTGGCATAAAGCAGGTTCTATTTGTGTTATATAGTTATTAGATACCAGCATGCAATTTCTCCTCTTATCTGTTCCATTAGAAGCTTATCTATATGCCTTGATGCATCTCCATTTACTTATTTCGTCACAGTTGCAGGAACAAATAAGATCACAAAATCTGAAGTTATGCAATAATGCTGATGGATCATGGCAAAAAGCAGTTACTTACCTTGAGGGAGAAAAATGACTCATGACTCGTGTATACTAGTGAATGTGTTATTGTCTATTTAGATGGAAGCCTAAAAGAGCTTCCTGGAAAACAAGACCTATATTCATGATAAATTCTCTGCAGAAAAAGTTCTGTATTAGCCTTCTGATCTGCATAAGCAGTTGTAATATGTTATCCTTACAAGTCTTGTCATGTCAAATTTCAGGCCTAGTTTCTTACAGAGCACACTTGGATCAATCTTCTCGGCTTCTTTAAGCTTGGACTACTTTGTGCATACTCCTTAGTTCACTACACGGACCCCATGCTGCTTGTTTTGACGTTTTGGGATATAATCAGGCTTCATAAACTTTTACTTCATTGATTGTAGAAGTCAATCTAGATGATGTAGAGGTTTTGTGCGGTCTGTCAATGGTCAAGCATAAATAGCTCACCAACACAGGAGACTTTCTTATAGAATAATTTTTTTTGATCGAGAATTTAGTTTGATTTCATGTTTAGTTTAGAAGATGTTCATTAATAGCCTGCTGGATTACAGATTCTGAAAAACAGCTTTCTTCCACCTTCTCTTGTTGCCTTGATCAGTGGTATTTTATTTGGGATTTTAATGTTTGTATATTTGTTAATATTGTAGCTTCTTAGTTGCTTTTTTTTTTTTTGGTTGTAGTCCGGCATGTAGCTTCCTACTTTCTCTTAAATTATTCAGGTCAGGGGAAGTTAGACACATACTTTCAGTGTCTTGCATCTGTGCTGTCTAGCCATGAATGCTTTTGGTTGGATATTTTGCATGGCATTTACTTTTCTTGGAATGATTTCAGAGGTTGTGGAGATGTTGACTTGTATTTTTTTTTTTGCTTTTTGGGTAGAAGATATTGACTTGTATAAAGAAATAGTTTATCTTGTAACTGCTGTCATTTCGTTCAGTTTATACTGATTTGCTTTGATGGTTTGGGGTATTGGAAATTTCCAGGAAAGGTACTTGGCTGCTGTTATTAAGTCATAAGTGAGTTCTGAGTGATGTTGGTCTGGTAATTTTTAAGTGCATGGAAAATGTCATCTTCTCTAATAGGGATATTTAGTGTAGGACATTCAGTCCTGTGGGTGAGAGTTTGGTCCTTTACTACTTGAGACAATGAAGAGTTACATGCGGTGGTTTTATGGAGATCTCATGCACATGAAAGTTGGCACTGTCAGTCAGGGATTTTCATGTGAAAAATGCTTAGTTATGTCAGCAAAGTAAAACTTAGTTGGCATGCCTGCATAAGGAGAAAATTGAAAAAAAAAAAAGCATTTAAAAGTATACGAGTCCACGTTCTGTTTAGGTTGTCTTATTGGCATGTCTCTACTTACCTTGACGACCCATGTATCTTCAAATTTTGTTTAGTTCTTTTCTAGATAAGTGGGTCACACGTCTGTAGGTTTGTTCCCACTTCATCAAGTTTGTTATCTTTATTATCTTCTTAATTTAAAGTACAAAAAGTTGGTTCTATTGTTCACGAGTAAGGTGCTAAGGAATTTGGGCAGTGGAAGTGTTTCGTGTTAATGGACTAACCTGATACTCTGGTTCTCTTATAGGAAAAAGAGTGCTAGCCTTAGATAGCTTTGCTCAAACCTGTTACATATTAGAGCATTGGTGACACAAGCATATCATCTCTAGTAGAACTGTCAGCTACTCAAATTTGTCAATATTCAAGTTATCCTCTTTCCTTTATAGTTGAGATGTTATTGAAGGACACCGGGGCTCCCCTACTTGAGATATCCTCTACTTGAAATCGTCTTGTCTGTCTAAACTCTGGCATGATTTCATTCAATGTATCAACTGAAAGACATCTTATTTTCTGCATTAAGATGGACTAATGGTGGCATTGCAGGAATAAGTCCAGATACAAGCAGACACTCATCCAAATTTCCAAAGGAAAGGTGCTAAACTTTTGGATATCTTGAAATGTGAAGCAAGTCTTCTGATCTTGCTGGTAAAATGGAATGCTTGAAATTCAACAAACCCCCACTTTTCTTCTTCAGAAATGACTGAAATGAGTGCACTTTTTACCATAAAAAATTGCTCCCCCTCCCTTTTTTACAGATATGGATAATTTACCACCGAGGACTTGTAATGGTTTTCAGATCAGGATATCTTTTCTAATGTCATGCAGGTTGTATAGACAATTGCAATCTATGATGACCCTACAGGTTTTATTCAAATAAAAGAGCATCAAGTCCAGCTAGAGACACTTATGTTCTTCCCGGGTATGAAAAATCCTAATGATGAAGAAGGCAGTTAGGACTTAGGGCTACAGGTTACAATTACATGGTTATGTGAAGAATGAATGCTCAATTCTTCTTTTTCTTGAACTGATTGACATACAATATTCAGGTGTCTCTGTGACCTGAAACATTCATTTAGTATGACATTCTGGATTGGGAGATCAACTCAACTTGAAATAAGGTTAACTAAATGTTATCTGCTGTCAAGAAAAGGAAGCAAATAAGGGAAGGCTCACCCCCTCCCATATTGTCTCCCTGCATCCCGTGAAACTCAAGTTTGTGTCGATTGTTTCCTGGTTTTTCTGTTTGGCTAGTGGAATTGATGTCTGGTTAGTAGTGATGGAGCTAGAAATATTTTTCAGTAGGCTCACAAAATTAACCTTTGCTATTTTTTTCTAATTTGCATGTGGCTAGTAATAATAAAAGGTTATTTCTTAGGGGCTTAAATTTAATCAATTAATAAAATACAACTGTTTTATCAGTGAAAAATACAAAGTTGTAGGCCAAGATAAGTGACTGTGTGGGTAAAAGTACGGGACCTTGCAGTCGTGAAGATTTGCAGCTACTTGTTTTCTTCTTTCATACATATTCATTGGCAAGTTACAATCATGACCGCGCTATATAATAGCGGGATAATTCTACTCTACACGAGTCTATTATCACAACTTCATTAAGAAAGGGCATCAAATACCCCCCCTCCTCTTCTTTCTGTCTCTTTCTTCTCCCATATCAAAGAGTAATAATTCTACAAAAGAACTTGTATTCCTTAACCATAAATCTCGAATTTGAAAACCATGGGAATGGAAAGGACAATGTTGGCAGAGTTTTTTCTTTTAAGGGGTCTGATTCAACTCGAACCAGATTAGTCACACATCGTAAAACAGATGTGAGTACCTATGATTTATACCAAAAAGGAGTGCTAAATCTTTTATAGCCCTCCCTTTCTCGATCTGTCTCCATTGTTTCACCATTTTATGTCTTCTCTCATAGCCTGCGACCTTTTTCCTACTTAAAATTTTCTATCTATCTGCATAACGTTGTCCCTTTACATGATTGCCCACATCTCCTGATCTCTTTCCCTGCTGTACTTACATGATGGTTGATGCCATCATGATAATAGAGGTGGTGATGGTGGGCAGTCTCTTTCCCAAGGTTGCCCACCACAAAATGCAAGATTCCCAAGACTCATATGATGTTTCACAGAACTCTACAGCAACATCAGCAGTCTCTTCTTATATTTTCAAGAATCGCTTTGAACAGAGGAGTTTGGAAAATAAAAGAAGAAACAAGGAAGCCCATGAATATTATATTGAAATGTATAACATCATAGATCCAGATACTACTCCCTCAGATACACCAGATGATGATTATCAGTGGGCATGGAATGATATTGACATGGATGGGTCCCCCTAGAAGGGTCCTCCTAAAAGTGTGATTTACTTTTCCCAAGAGTCAAGTGTGATTTACTCTTTCCAAGGGACAAGTATTATTTATTTTTCCCAAGAGTCAAGTGTGATTTACTTTTCCCAAGAGTCAAGTATTGTTTCTGAAAGGCCATTTATCTTGAAAGGCCAAGTTTAGTTGATGTATAAATAGATGAGACTATCCATTTGGAAGGATCATCGAAAAATTGCCTGAAAATCCTTAATAAAATCCCCAGTTTGCTCTATCCCTCATGGAATTCTAAGTTTCTATATTTCACCAGGGAAGGCCGAGAGATCCTTATAGCTGCGTAATTGCTTAGATACTCATAGCTTTGTTTTAATTTGTTCTTGTGATAAAAGTCCCTTGAACTTTTGAAAGCCCAAAGGAGAGAGGCTGTTGTGTTCGGGAATATCTTCAAAGAGCAAATTATTATTCTGATATGGGAATTCTAAGCAGGCACTCTGGTATTTGGTATCAGAGCCAACCCCTGGTGAAATCTTTCCTATTTATTATCTTCACAGTCTTGGCAGGATATCTTTTCTCATAATGGACGTGTGTGCTCCTGTATCAAAGAATGCAATAAGAGGAATAGGTTTAGAATATTTATCCAATAAAATATGAATAAGAGTTTGAGGATAAATTTCCTTTCCATTATCTTCCAAGGTTGCCTTTTGATTATCTTCCAGTTACCTAGATCCCTCTCTCTTCTTATGTTAGCGATCGTCAATGGTGGATGGTAGTGGTCGTGGTGGTGGTGGTGTGTGTGGTGAACTAATGGAGGTGGTGATTATTTGAAGTTATGATGTAAGTAGAAGGAAAAGAACGAAGGATAGAGTAGGAAAAATGCAGGCTGCCACTTTAGTGATAATGACATCTCGTAATATGATGCTATACTTTGTAGCAATACTTATAATAGTTATCTCAAAATTCAGTAAGGGTACAACTTAGAATTTTCAAGATTTCTCAAAGTAATACTAGCATGTTGTTTGGCCACAACGTAAATCAGCCATTACCGCTTAGATATTTTACTAACTGTATGCCCCGTGATATTACATACAACTACAAATGATTAGAAATTGAAAGAAACAAGAGATTTTTGAGAGAATTCTTATATATAAAATTCTAATTTGTAACCGTACAAGAGAGGCCTATTTATAGATAACTATCTATGAATCTAAATACTATACATAATACACCTACCTGAACAATGCTTGATCCATAAAATCTTTCTATATGCTTGATCAATAAAATCTTTCTATGTCTGCAACAAAATGCACATTCTGTTGAGTACATTGCAAAAAGGGTGATATTGCGCAACGGATCTTTTGTCCCACACCCTGTGCCATTCTCTGTCCCACTTTTTATTATATTGCCATTTCTCCTTCATAAACATCATGTTTTAGTTCCTTTTTGTTTCTTTAAGATCCAATAACTATTAATTTAGTAATACACAAAATTTAACAAACTCAAAAAATCAAATGCATAAAAAATGAGATTTTTTTTATGAATTTTCTGCTGCATTTTTTAATTTTCTATTATATATTGGTTTTTTGAAACTGTTGTATTTATTTTTTACTGAATTTGTAGTTATTGAATCTTAAGGAAACAAAAAAGAACTAAAACATGATATTTATGAAGGAGAAATGACAATATAATAAAAAGTGGGATAGAGAATGGCACAGGGTGTGGGACAGAAGATCCGTTGCGGTGATATTGGCAGGCAATAGACATGTTGAATGACAAGTTAATTGATCAGTTTCTAGGTACAAAATGCACTTTTCTCAGTTTTGATGAAGCTTAGGATGATACCAATAATTACTATCAAGAGGAATTTCTTAATTCCTTGACTCCGAATGGTTTGCCACCACATTAGTTGGTATTGAAGGAAAATGCACCAATTATGCTCTTAAGAAATCTAGATCCATTAAATGGTTTATGCAACGGGACAAGAGTGGTATGTAGACATTTTCAAGGTAATGTCATCCATGCAGAGATTACAGTAGGTCAATATAAAGGGGTTCATATTCTTTTGCCCTACATACCCCTTTCTCCAGTAGAGAATGGAGGCTATCCATTTAAGTTCAAGAGGAAACAAAATCCTATATGGCTATGCTTTGCAATGACCATCAACAAATCATAAGACTAGACCATTCCCCATGTCGGCATTTATTTGCCACAACCCATTTTTTCACATGATCAATTTTACGTAGCTCTATCAAGAGGAGTCAATGGCAAACACAAAGAATTTGGTGAAGTCAGATTGTCCCACAGAGACATATGCTGCTACTATCAAAAATATTTGTCTACAAAGAAGTACTCTAATATGAGAGGTAAAATGAATATACTATTCACTTTGACTTTGTATCATTTGTTTCATATCTTCTTCAACTATTCAATAAACTATGACTATTATGCAAACTTATGATTTATTTTGCAGACGTATACAAATGTAGGAGAAAGTAGGTACATAGAACAAGAGTACAATTCCATACTCAACTATACTTGACAATGCAAATGTTTAGTACTCATATTTCTCATTCTGATATAATTCCTTGCATCTTAATGTATTGTTTCTATACACAAAAACTTCAACTATGATGATTTTCACTTGATCAGGATTACAATTTCTAGAAGGCAGACTACTGGATTTACCAAGTAGTCTTCTTGCAAAGTCAGCTTAGGTATTTCGACACCGATGAACAGTCGCCTCATCCCCATAGTCAAAGTAGAAAAGATGACAGAATTTAAGTTGTCCATTTATATAATATCTTTCATTTATGAAGTCCATTGCATTTTCACCAGATGTATTGTTTTCTTAACTAAGTACTACAATATATGGTTTAAGATTACAAAGAATGCGTCGGATACTATGGTATTTGATACACAAATACCCTATAACTACAAAAGCAATGAATAGCCAATTTAGAAAGCTCACAATATGTGCTTAGTAGTCACTACCAAAAATGATTATATAGTTCCAATTCCAGCTCCAATAAAAAACAGGCATTTTAAATACCAAGCTTCACATTTTCTAGAGCAAGTTGGATGGTTTACGAAAGAATTGCTTTATTCTTTATCAAGAATCAAGGATGCATTTTAAATCGGATTGATGAAAAGTTCAATTGGAGTAAATGCTTTGGAATGGTTGCATGACTTGATCTGGTTTTTGGCACAGAAATGATACAGTAATTTAGTAATTGAATGGAAATAGTAGTACCTCACTCATCGTGGGACGCCACATGGAAGAACCTCGAATGCAGAGAGAGGATGCAAAAGCAAGTCTATTAAGTTGTTTAACATCATAAAACCCTTCAAGTCTTGGATCTACCACCTTTTCAGTCTCCCCTCGGTTGAGTATTGGTTTGGCCTATTGAATTCACTACCACCAATTAAAAAATTGACTTTTCTATCATATGTTAAACAGGAATTCTAAAATTGGCTACCTTTAATTACCCAGCTGTGTAAGCTTTGATGAGCACCATCTACTGGTTTTTTGCCAGATAGAAGCTCCAGCAAAAAGACTCCAAATGCAAACACATCTGTCCTCTCATCAACAACCCCGTGCATGAAGTCTTCTGGTCCTAAGTGCCTGTAAAATCGGCAAGAAATACACTTCAGCACAAGACCCAACTTGTAGCAGATTATGCAAGAAAGAAATAAAAAAAAAAAAAACATTGACAAGTAATCTACCCAAAAGTTCCTTCAATTGGAACAACTGAATGGTGATTCCCAAACATATATTACGTAAAATTTAATATCGTAAAACAAATAAAATATCATAAAATAAAATATTTCTTATAATATTATAAAAAAGCAAACAAAAGGTAAAAACTGA